AGGTTGTAGTTATGTAGGTTCGGTTGGGGTGTAAGGAGTACCTATATTATATCCTCTTAGCTTGTGTTTAGAGGTTTACTTGCTGAGTACCGTGTGGTTTGGTACTCACCACTTGCTTCTACAATTTTTTGTAGGTTACGTGCTTGGATTTTTTTGTAGTACTTGTCATTCTCTTCTTTTCCGAGGCTTCTTGGAGATTTGTGAGGTAGTTGTTTGTCATCTCATCGGACCTTCTTACTCCTATTTATGATCTTGTTCTATTCTAGAAACAATGTCACGTGAGACATGTGTTTTTCTTTTGAATCAATTGTAATACTTTAGAGGTTTGTACACGTGACAACCAAGTTTTGAGGGTTTTATTAAGTTGACTTAGTTATCCGCACTTGTAATATTTTGAGATTTCAATATGTTTTACTTCCGCATTTTTGTGATATTTGGGTTTTAGGCTAACTTGTCTTAGTGGGATAAGACGAGTGTCATCACATCCATTTTGGGGTCGTGACACTCACACTATATTAAGAGAAAAGAAATATTTCTCTCATTTAATTATGAAAGGGGCCAATGTCAATATAATATTCGATAGTACAAAATAAAATTTGATTTTCGATGCACCGAAGTTCTATATATAAGTATAACAGCAATACAATTAATGGAATATATGTTTGAATCGCCAAGTATAACTTTGAGGATAGTTGTGTACCATTTTCAATACTTTGAGGGTATTTCAGGCCCTTTCCATTAAATATTATTATATATATAAGTATAAACAAAAGCGTGTCTCCAATCCTTCTAGAATTTGGATTATAAATTTCCTTTTTCCAATTACAGGATTTGTATATTCAATTATGGAAATTAAGTTTCCATTAAGTTCAATTATAAAAATAATTTCCATAAATTTCCTTTTTCTAATTACAGGATTTGCCATTATTTAATCTTAACGAATAGTTGGACTGAATAATTTCGGCTAACCAAATATAAGTTTGGAAATAGTACTCCATTATGCCCTACTAATTAGCTGCCTAACTTTTTTTTGGATTTTGTTTTTACCGTCATTGTTGAACATCTTTTACAAAGTTTCTTATGAGTTTGGCATACAATTTATTGTCGAATGCTTAGGAAATTTCTAAAGTAATTAATTGTGATGAAATCCACATTTGGTACCAGTAGGTCTACCCAATACATAATTCTTCAAGCATTTAGAATCACCAACTCTTCTATTTTATATATTTCCAAATAATTATTTTTGTTAAATAGTTGGTTTTTGTTAACTCTCAGGATCAAAAGCACACACTTTAAATAATTAAAGATTAAATGTACATAGTCAATTAACACAGACACTAACACTGAAATTATGCAGTAATACATGGACTAAAACCACTATTTCCCCAATTAATATTTATTAAAGACCTTTGGTCCTGTATAATTCCTCTCACCTTTCAATATTTCATTGTTATTTAATAAATATTCAAAGTAGGAAAAATTAGCAAACTAGTCAAAATCCCTTACATAATTATTAAAAATATCTATACTTTAAAATAATTATTAAAAATGTCAATATGTCAATATTTTATCAAATATAATGTATTCTAATATAATTTATTTACTTTCTTTTTTTTCTCAAATTGAGCCCTTTTTTTTACTCCATTACCGGGTGAAAAGAAAAAACTTCATTACCCACTTTTTTCTCTCCAAATTTTTTACTCACATTCTATACTTTCTTTCTCATAGGATTTTTTCCTTTATTCCCTCTCCTCAAGTAACTTAAACATTGCCTTGTATCACCCGCTTCAAGACTCTCAACAGATCGAGAAAAAATCAAAGGGGATGATGTTGTCGAACACATCATTAGCCGTGAAATTGAACAAAGGACACATTGTAACCGGAGGTGGTGAAGAGTAGAAGTGAAGCCTTTATCTTTATTTTGACAATTGAGGAACTGAGTGTATTAGTTTTAATACAAGATCTTTTTGAAGTAGCTATGAAATTCTCTAGACTCTCTATGACACAATTATGGCTTTGAATTTTCATTAAGATTGTGACATTTTGCTAAATAATAATAATAATAACAATAATAAAAATAAAAATAAACTTTCTTTTGTTTAAATCGAAATTCATCCACTGTTTTAAGAAATCTTAGAATTCAATCAAAAAATGTCCAACCTTTAATACAGATTGTTTAAATCTAAGAAATTATTTTTCTCTACCATTTTTCATATTGTATTCTTTTTTATTATTAGGTGTTTTTCAGAATGTAATTTAATTATTTAATTTTTTAGGTAATTATAAAAAAAAATTAGATGACGAGGCAGAGTCTTACTAATGCACAAGTGAAAACAGATTCGGATTTGAGTTTGGTGAACAAAATATCAGAAAAAGGAACATAACATACGAAGAAAAAGAAGATAGAGAGACTTAGAAAAGAAGGTTGCGAAAATTGTATTCATACCAAAATTGTATTCATATTGATTTTTGTTTGTCAATTGTCTTGCTTTTACTCAACATTTGTGTTTTTACTAAGAACATTGTATTATTTTTTTTAGTTTGTAGTTATTCCAATAGGTATGCCAAATGAATTTGTATTTCTTAAGCACAAATGTATCTTATTCTTTCACAGTCAATTTTTATTTTTTTTAGAATATTGTATCATTTCTCAACAAATTGTATTATTTCCGCTATGTATGCTATTTTTTTCAGAATCTTGTATTTCTATTTCTTTCAAACTCAATTTGTATTTTTTTAAGAATATTGTATTCTTCCTCAACAGAATTTATTATTTCCACTATGGGTGTATTTGGTATGAAGGAAAATGTTTTTTATGAACAGTGTTTTCCTAGAAAATGTTTACTTGAAAAACAAGTAAATTTCTAACTTGTTTTTTCATGTTTGGTTGGTGAGTAGAAAATATTTTTTAATGTTTGGTTGGTGGATGGATTTTTTTTTTTATCTGATGGAGATTTGTGAGTAAAATTTTAAATGTTTGAGTTGATATCTTTTTTAGTTTTCTAATCATTCACTTCAAATTAAATGTCCACCTTCTTCTGTGCTGTTCCCAGATTTTAAAATAATTTTGGTGTTTTTAATGAAATAAAAACAGTTTTTTTTTAATGAACATGATAATCTTCTCTCGTATTGTTCCAATTTTATCCGAAGTGGAAGGGACCGGAAATATTGACATTTTTAAGCTTCTTCTGTTACTAAGGTATAAAGAGAGTGAAATATTAATTATTGAAGGAGGAATGATCTAAGACACCCCTATATTTGACTCCATTTGTCAGTTAGACCCTTTAACTCATTACTTTGCCAAATGAGTACTTAGACTCGATAAAACTCTATTTTTTGAATCCCTCTGACCATTGACCAAACTTATGTGGCATAAAAATGGTTGAGTTGGATAATTGCCTGATTACACGCGTTTTGCAGCAAGTGACTACAATATTTTTATTTTTAAAATATTAAATTACACAACAAAATAATAGTAATATTTTTAAAAAAAATACAAATCATTTCTTCTTCTTCTTCAGTCCCACCCAACCCTTCTCTTTTCGTCTTCAATCCCCAGCCCACCCCTTCTCTTTTCTTCTTCTTCAGTTGAGTACTCACCCACTCATCCACCATTCTTTCTTCTTTTTTAGTACCCACCTCATTCTATTTTCTTTTTCATCGTCTTCTTCGATAAACACCCTCCATTACTGTCACTATTACCATAAAAAAAATTTATATAAAAAAGTTAGTTACCTAAAAATATACCTCTGGTTAAATCCATTCTTCATTTTTATGTTCTTGTATAAAATTTTCAAGATCTATTATATTTTTTTGGATTATTCACAAAACAAACTTTTTTTAATTTGAAATTTCTTTGATATTTGAATTTATCGATTAAAAATAAATGGAATTGATCTTCATGTAAACCTAATAGCTAATGAATTTTTGTGTTTAAAAAATTTTTTGGGTTTGAAAACGATGGAAAAGGTGGGAGTAGAATGCGATTTTTTTTTGTGGATGAGGAGTGGAAATGGAGAAGATGATGAAGTGGGAAATTGGGGAATGGAGGAACGGTACCTTTTTAAAAATATCATTTATCATTTTTAATAATTAGTTTCTGATGTGTCATTAAATATTTTTGAAAAATTATGATGTGTCACTAAAAAAATGATGTGGAGTTCAACGTGTAGCTGCGTGTATTACACTTCCACTAATCAGGTAAAAAAAGAGTTTAAAATAATGTGTTTCGTCGAATTTAAGTGTTCATTTGGCAAACTGGTGAGTAAGAGGATCCAACTAACAAACAGAACCAAATAAAGGGTCTCTCAGATCATTCCGCCATTATTGAATCATTTAATGTTGTTATATTACAATAAGATACATAGGAGAAAATTATAAAAAAGGATGGCTAAAAAGAAAGTGTCACATTAGTACTCTTCAATTATTTAACTTTGTAATATTAGAACAATGAGCAACAAGCGAATTGCTATATTTTGTTTTTCCTTTTCAAGTCTAAAGATCACGACGTTTTATTCCATGTCATTGATTTTTAAATAGGAAACTAGAGTGGTCAAAATGGGTTTAACCCTTAAAGGCCAACCCAACTCAATTAAGCTTTCTATTGGATTAAGATTTATTAAGCTCATTTTAAACTGGGACTTATAAGATCAACTATAGTCAGCCCGTTGGCCCTTGAGGCTTGAACTAAGGCAAAAGTATAAGGTTTAGTTATTGATCTATGGAAGTTATATCCCAAAGTGTTAAAACATATGGAACGACTTTGTACATTATTCTTTTAGTTGTTTGTAATTTTGGTAATCATGTGACATGACGATGTCAAAAGTAAAAAATGTATCACTAATTAAGCTAAGTCAAACACTTCTTCAATATTTGATTTTGATTTAAAATATAAAGAGGATATAACTAACCAGAAAGCAAATAATATGATCAATAGCCTCACTAGCAAAAGTAACAGTGTTGTATTCCTTGAGAAATCAGAATGAATTACAAGTGAGAAGGGTAAACTATTTATATGTTACAAAGGTAAGGCATTAGTCAATGAACAAGCTCCACTCGAGCCCTAAAGTACTAGGACACGAGCTCTAAACTATTTATAGGAAGATGTTGTTCAACTATCTAAACAGTTCACAAATCTTGATAATAAATTTAGGTTTCTTGCAATGGTTTCTCAATAACTTTGTAATGTGAGGCAAGAATACTGGAAACACTATGGAAAAGATAGTAAATAAGAGAGAAATTCCCCGGTTAGGCGTTATGGCAGACATCACAGTATCATAGGTTGCTATCAAGGCAACAAGTGAGATCTGCAGTTCCAATTGCAAAGGAAATCCTATGGTCAGGAAATTTATAGTGTGAAGGGACACGAAAAATCCGATAGAGTTGAAAACCAAGAACAAGCCATAGGAAATTGGATTGTTGGTTCCCATCACTGATTGTCCTGCAATTCGTCGCAAGGACATTATGCCATCACTACTGCTGCTGTTATTGTGATCAGGCCAGTAAGTGTCCTGCCAAACACCTCCTGGTGGACTAAGTACTGTTTGATAAGTTGCTGTTGCAATTAAAATAGCTATAACAAGAAGGGTGTCTCTTACTTTTCCTGGACAATCTTTGGTTTTATTGTACTTGAAGAAATCCTGAAGCTTCTTAGAATTAGATCGAGGCCCATCGTCCCTTGTTTGTTCTATGCTGGATTGTTCATTTGATGGATCTTGAACTGGAACAACCCAAGATTGTGGCAAACCTTCTTGTTGCGAAGTTTGCAAGTGTTCAGCAGATACAGCACCAGATGTTCTTAGAATCTCCTCAATATCTCTATCTCCACATTCCTTAAGTAGTACTTCCAAAGGTGTAAGGCCTCCTTTGTTCAAAGAATTCACATCAATAGTGCCTTTAGCAACAAAATTTTCGTCGAGTAATAGATCAACAACCTGGATGATCATTTCTCTTATCTGTTATTGAAATTTAAAAGTTGATATGATGAGTTAAAAGGCATAACGAAGATACTTACCTCGAATTGCTTAGTTGACGTAGCAAGATGCAAAACAGTGTTTCCTTGGATATCCTTCTTGTTTAAAAGACCATACTTGTT